GTGTAAGAGGGTTCCCCTTTCTCTCCATCATTTGTTGTTTCTTCCCCTGTCCATTTTTGCCATTCTAACTGGTGTAAGGTGGTATCTCTGTGGTTTTGATTTGAATTTCCCTGATGGCTAAAGATGATGAACATAAGATACCTCGGAATAAACCTAACCAAAGAGGTAAAGGATCTGTACTCTAGGAACTACAGAACACTCATGAAAGAAGTTGAAGAAGACACAAAAAGATGGAAAAACATTCCATGCTCATGGATCGGAAGAATAAACATTGTTAAAATGTCTATGCTACCCAGAGCAATCTATACCTTCAATGCCATCCCGATCAAAATTCCAGTGACATTTTTCATAGTGCTGGAACAATCCTAAAATTTGTATGGAATCAGAAAAGACCCCGAATTGCCAAGGAAATGTTGAAAAGGAAAAACAAAGCTGGGGGCATCACGTTGCCCGATTCCAAGCTATATTACAAAGCTGTGATCACCAAGATAGCATGGTACTGGCACAAAAACAGATGTACAGACCAATGAAACAGAATAGAGAGCCCAGATATGGACCCTCAACTCTATGGTCAAATAATCTTTGACAAAGCAGGAAAAAATATGCAATGGAAAAAAGACAGTCTCTTCAATAAATGGTGCTGGAAAAATTGGACAGCCACATGCAGAAGAATGAAACTCGACCATTCTCTAAGACCATACACAAAGATAAACTCAAAATGGATGAAAGACCTCAATGTGAGACAGGAATCCATCAAAATCCTAGAGGAGAACATAAGCAGTAACCTCTTTGACATCACCCACAGCAACTTCTTTCAGGATACATCTCCAAAGGCTAGTGAAACAAAAGCAAAAATGAACTTTTGATACTTAATCAAGATAAAAAGCTTCTGCACAGCAAAGGAAACAGTCAACAAAACAAAGAGGCAACTCACAGAATGGGAAAAGATATTTGCAGAGAAAGGGCTGGTATCCAAGATCTATTAAAGAACTTCTCAAACTCAACACTCAAAAAACAAATAATCAAATCAAAAAAATGGGCAGAAGACATGAACAGACACTTCTCTGAAGAAGACATACAAATGGCTAACAGACACATGAAAAAGTGTTCACTAGCGTATATTTTAAAGCACCTGTGTGACCTACTTCTTTACTGAATTCCAAGCAGCATGTTATGGAGCAAAAAGAAATCTGCTATCAAGATGTACCTAATGAAGTGTTACTGGCATTTGTACATAAAAAAAAAAAAAAAGCTATATAGAGGGGAACAGAATAGGGCAGCAAAGGCAAATAATTACTAAATTCACAATGTAGTGTGTTGTTGCATTTCCAATTACCAAATTCTCTATACTCATTTGTTCCTTTGGATCACATGCCTTAGGTGGGCAGGCAGCATTACGTAAATAAGATGACTAGAGGCTGAGCTAGGAAATGCTAACTAGATAAAAAGTTCACCTATATTTTTGAATCAAAGAAACTCTTATCTTTAAATTGAATATATGGTTATTACAACAGAAATCTAAACAGACCTTCTGATGACTTGCTCTGATGATTTCTCTCTATAAGACAGTTAAATTGCAAATAGGTTATATGTATTTTGAGCTTAATTCTGCCTCCTTAGTTAAGGAGATAGGGTTGGACAGTTCAGCAGTTTTGAATCTTAAAGGGCCTTTCACGCTTTCGAGACATTTTGTATTTTTCCTCAGCAGTATTACCGCAAACATGATTAAGTAATTATTTGTATAATTGTTTAATGAACATCTCTCTTGATAGACTAAGCTCTATGTGTACAGGAACCGAATTGCCATCACCAGCAGTACAATGTGTAAACAAATACATGGAGGTCATGTCAATCATTGATTGAACGCATTTCATGTGAAAATTTTTTTAATAGGCATTAAAAGATGTCATTGTGTAAACATGTTATCGTTTGCACAAAAGGCCTCCATCCCTAAATGAGAATGATATGTAATAGATTGAATTAAATAGGAGGGTATCAAGGAGACATTTGTCTTTTATATTTGTTCACTGTGAGGACAAAGAGTTTTGTCTGATTTGTTTGCAGGTTTATTTCTAGCAATAAGAACAGTGTCTGTCACAGAAATATATGTTGAATCAATGACTTAATAAAAGTAATGGCACAATTTAATAATAAGAAAGTAAACAACCTAATAAAAAATGGGCAAAAGATTTGAACAGACACTTCACCAAAAAACATACAGGATGGCACATAAGAACATAAAAAGATGATCAACATTATTCATCATTAGAAAAATACAAATTAAAACCACAGTGAGATGTTGCTACACATGTATTAGAACGACTAAAATAAAAATAACTGGTAGTAGCAACGGCTGGTGAGGATGTGAGGTACTAGAATTCTCATAGGTTGCTGGCAGGACAGGCTGCTTTGGAAATCAATTTGTCAGTTTCTTACAAAGTTAAACATACATTTAGCATATGACCCAGCAACCCCAGGTCTAGAAATTTACCCAAGAAAAATGAAACCATTTGTCCACACACACATACTCACATGAAAACCTGAACATGGATATTTATGAAGGCTTTATTCATAATTTCTAAAAAATTGGAACTAGTCCAAATGATCACTAACTGGTGAATGGCTAAATGAATGGCTAAATAAACTATGACACATTCATACAATGGAATATTATTCAGCAAGAAAAGGGAGCAAACTACTAATACAAGCAACAAGAAGGACGAATATCAAATGCATTATGCTGAAGTGAAGGAAGCCAGAATCAAACGGCTCCCTACTGTATAATTTCATCTATATAACATTCTGGAAAAGCTGAACTATGGGACAGAGATCAGATAAACACAGAAGTGCTCACAAGGGCTGGGGTGGAGAAGGAGAATTGACTACAAAGAAGGTAAAGTCTTTGGAATGATGGAAATGTTCTGTATCTTGACTGTGATAGGGCTTACCCAACCATATGCATTTGTCACAATTCCTAGAGCTGTACACCAGAAGAAGGGTGAACTTTATGTAAATTATACCTTAATAAACCTGACTCAGAACCAGACAAAGAAGGAGTTGATGAGGCTCTTCTCTGTAAGTAGTTAAGCAAGTAGATCATTAGCTTGCTGCCTTGAGAATCAGGAATGAACTCAGACTTTACCAAGGAACCAAAGAAATGAGTGAGGCTTGCTTCACTACTTACCATTCCACTATTCTTATTCTTTCTGTTGCAGGCGTATAACTTTCTTGTGGCAAGGTCTTTGGTTTTTGTGTATTGTGATCAAAAACCACTTATTAAGTGATACCTGATATTTAGCATTGTGTAAGACACCGAACTCCCAGTGCCTCAGGTGGGTCTAACAGATGCAGCACATGCCTTGTTTGCCACCCCGTAGAGTTGCTATGAGAATGAAAGAAGATGGCATACTTGCACTATGTAAACTGTAAGGTGCTGAGTAAATATAGGTGATTTCATTGCTAAATATTAAACCTAGATATAATAAACAAACTTGGATTTCAGGCATTGGAGAGCAACCCACAAACATGTTATGGATAAGGTGTGTAGGAAAGGTTTACCTGACCTGCATCTATGTTTGGCCCCACTGCTACCTCCTTGTCCAATGGAGAGAATCTGGTGTTCAGGAGTTTTGTCCATAGCACCCATTGATCAGCAGGAATGCAGTTTGATAACGTTGGACAATGTGAAGTGACTCAAAGGACTGCAATAGGCAAATGTTGGACTTAGAGGCTCTAAAGGAGTGAATATTCAACAAACGTTTTGTTTTTCTGTACTATCTAGTCTTTTATGAGATAGGGCTCTTGTTTTAGTCTAGGTGACCATTGTAGTAAATGTGCTGTATCACTCATATGCAGTGTTTTCTTCTGATGCCTCATCTTCCAGTGTTTTTGCCACCCCAGGTCTCCATAGATTTTTATTTCATGTGACAGCCAGCTTTGATCCTCATGAATATTGTCATGAACCCAGTGATATCAGTGATAAGGTTTTAGCCACAGTTGTAACGGATTTCTCTTCTTACTTTCTATACATACACACACCATTAGAAATTTTGCCTTTTTGCTTCTTAGATCGCTATGTACTCTGCTTGGAGAGGCACTCCATGCTGAGCTCAAAGAATACTTATTTGGATGACTTTGAGAATTTATTTGTGGGGCATTGCAGAATTATAAAATAAGTTCTACTAGTAATATAGCCTTGGCCAGATCACTTAATATGTTTCTCTACTTGTGTGTTTTCTTTAAATTTTTAAATTTTTATTTATTTACATTTTAAAGATTTGTTCATTTATTTTTAGAGAGAGAGAGAGCATGAGTGGGAGGGGCAGAGGGAGAGAGAATCTCAAGCATACTCCTTGCTGAGTGTGGAGCCTGATGCAGGGCTTGATCTCATGACCCTGACATTACGACCTGAAGCGAAACCAAGAGTCGGACACTTAACCAACTGTGCCACCCAGGCGCCCCAGTTTTTTTTTTTTTTTAAGTGGGCTCCATGCCCAGCGTGAAGCCCAATGCAGGGCTTGAACTCAGGACCCTGAGATGAAGACCCAAACTGAGATCAAGAGTCAGATGCTTAGGGCGCCTGGGTGGCTCAGTTGGTTAAGCGACTGCCTTCGGCTCAGGTCATGATCCTGGAGTCCCTGGATTGAGTCCCGCATCAGGCTCCCTGCTCGGCGGGGAGTCTGCTTCTCCCTCTGACCCTCCTCCCTCTCATGCTCTCTGTCTCTCATTCTCTCTCTCGCAAATAAATAAAATCTTAAAAAAAAAAAAAAAAGAGTTGGATGCTTAACCAACTGAGCCACTCAGGTGCCCCCTGTTTCTTTACTTGTAAAAGGCAGGTAATAGTTTCAAATTTGCTACTGTCACCATGTTGTTGTAAGAATCACAATAGCTTAGGAAAGCTTGCAGCCAACTCTGAAATTCTGTGCCAGTAGGAAGCAGTAATATTATTAATGGCATTCTTCTCATGATTTTACTACTGATAAATTATTATGTTTCTCCAGGGAGAGCCACTCCGGGGCAGCTCATGTCCTATATTCAGCTCTTCAAGAACAACGTCAAAGCTTTAGTGAATCACTGTGGGCTCCTACAGCTTGGGCTGGCCACGGTTCAAACTCTGAAACACCCGCAGACTGCCAAGTGGGATAACTTTCTGGCTTTTGAAAGACTCCTTCTCCAGGTATGTTGCTATGGGAGTTTCTTGGGATATTAATAGTTAAAATGCTTGCTTCCGGGAAAAAACTTTGATGTTTATTGTAGTCTTAGTAATAAGTCATATTGTTGACATATTCTTTATATCATATTCTCTAAGAGCCTCCAAATTAAAATGTTCGTAGAAATTTTCCATACCTTTGATTTTTTGTTTTTTGCTTTGTTTTTATTTGTTTTTTTTTGACAGTGACATCTTTGGCTTCTCACTCAATACCAAGAATGTTTTTTGAGCATTTGACTAACCTCTTTTCAATTTTATGCCATTTGGACCTTTCTTGATCTTCATGGTATCTTTATCCAATCCTTGCTACTTTCCTTGCAGAATATTACTACTGTTTACATTTCTTCTGACACTAACTAGTCTCTAATCCTCAAACAACATATAGCATGTGGCTTAAAATGATGCTCAGTAAAAGATGAATGAAGGCAAACTACATTTGTGAATGTAGTGAATTTGAAGTGATTTGTATGGGGTTAGGACCTTTTCATGATTGACGAAATATTTTCATGGAAAACTTAAAAAATTATAAAGCATTTAAAACGAAAATAAAATAATATGACATATCTATATGTACTCCCCACGTAGACTCAATGTAATTTATCCATTTTTAATATTTTTATATCCTTTTCATTAAAGAAATAAAACAGAAATAAAGTTGAAACATCTCTGATACTTATACCTTTCATTGCTCTGATTCTTCTTTTTTCTTTTCCAGAGGTAATCACAAACACGATTCCTTGTTTCTGTATTTTTATTAAATACTTATTTATCCATAAATAATACAGAGTATTGTGCTCTGGGTTTTACTTTTTATGTAAGTAATATTGTACTATAAATATTCCTAAACAACTTGTGTTTTCCTCTCAACATTCTATTTTTAAGATAATTCAAGTTGACATCTATAGATCTAGTTCATTTATTTGAACTATACCATACTATTTGATTATATGAATATACAACACTTTATACAATTCATATTGTTGTATAATTAAGCTATTCCATATTCGTGTGTGTGTGTGTATGTGTGTGTAGAGGGAGGGAGAGAGAGAGAGAGAGAAAAACAAGAAAGAATGTGGTCAATATTCTAGACCATGTGTTTTGGTATACATGTGAAAGAGTTTCTCTAGGATACATATATTGGAAAGGATGTTAGATTACTGACAATGCATATTGTTGAATTTACTAAATATCAACAAAGTGATCACCAAAGAGGTTGACCTAGTTGACCCTTCTGCTAGGCATGGATGACATTTTGTTTCCCCATATAGTGTCCAGTACTCAGTATTATCAAATTAGAACATTTTTTAATAGTGGGTCAGTGCTATTTCTTTATATAAGTTTGCAATTCTCTGACTACTGATGAGGTTGAGCATCTTTTATAGTATTTACTGACTCTTCAGTTTTCCTCTTCTGTCAATTGCTCATACTTATACTGTGCCCCTTTTTATCTATTGGGTAACAGAAAACTGTCTTACATCATGCAAATACTTCACTGTGGCTATGGTTTGTCTTCTAACTTTAATGCCAGTATATTGTACAAAAGTTTAAAATTTTAATATATTCTAACTAATTAATATTATCCTTTATGATTTGTACTCATTTGTGGTTTATATTAGAAATCTACTGGGGCGCCTGGGTGGCTCAGTTGGTTGGGCAACTGCCTTCGGCTCAGGTCATGATCCTGGAGTCCCTGGATCGAGTCCCGCATCGGGCTCCCTGCTTGGCGGAGAGTCTGCTTCTCCCTCTGACCCTAACCCCTCTCATGTGCTTTCTCTCTCATTCTCTCTCTCTCAAATAAATAAATAAAATCTTTAAAAAAAAAAAAAAGAAATCTATTTCTTTTTTTTTGTAAGATTTTATTTATTTATTTGACAGAGAGAGGAACAGCGAGAGAGGGAACACAAGCAGGGGCAGAGGGAGAGGCAGAAGCAGGCTTCCCGCAGAGCAGGGAGCCCGATGCGGGGCTCGATTCCAGGACTCTGGGATCATGACCTGAGCCGAAAGCAGACGCTTAACAACTGAGCCACCCAGGTGCCCCTAGACATCTATTTCTACCCCTGATTTCAAAACATATTGTTCTGTATTTTCTGCTAAAAATTAACTTTTGGCATTTGAAATTTTAATCCACATGGAATTTATTTTTGTTTATGGTATTATTCAGATCTAGCTTTCTTTTCTTCCATATGAACAGTCTAGTCTCCCCACGCTATTTATCGAATACTCCATTGTACCATAAATTACTTACCTAAGAGTCATTTTCCTCTTTCTCATGTTGGCAGAACACCAATTTGTTCCAGTGTCTACTCTTTTCCCAAATGATTCAGGCAAATCCTGATTGCTCTCAGAGTACATTGGCATTCTCATTTCCCTACCTAATGATTAGTTTAGCAGTTCAAGCCAAAGACAAGCAAAGAGTAGTTTGCTGGAAGTGTTTCTAGGGAAGATTTTCTTTTGCCCTGACAGAAGATACGTAATGAAGAAACAGTCTCTTTTTTCTGCTTCTTGATGTTTGAGACATGAGCATTTTGTGATAATGAAGGGAGCTCACTGAGATCCTGAGGAGGACAGGCAGAACTTGGATCTTTGATGACTTTGAACCTTAGCTCAAATATCTTGTTTTGTGAGATAATAATTCTTCTCATTTTTGAGCCACTTAAAAAATGTTGGTTTTCTCGGGGCGCCTGCATGGCTCAGTTGTTAAGCAAGCGTCTGCCTTTGGCTCAGGTCATGATCCCAGGGTTCTGGGATTGAGCCCCACACTGGGCTCCCGGCCCAGCAGGGAGTCTGCTTCTCCCTCTCCTTCATGTTCTCTCTCGCTATCTCTCTCTCTGTCTCTCAAATAAAATCTTTTAAAAAAAAGTTGGTTTTCTTATTTAGAGCCAAAAGATATTCATCTTTTTCCTATTGATATGTAATGTACTAAAATCCCATATAACAGTGAGTTTATTTCTCAGTTTCTAGTCTGTTTCAGTGGCCAGTTTATCTGTCACAGAATTAATACCACAATGTCTTAAAATCAGCATGTCCAGCTTATGATTTTCTTTCTAAGAGGGAATTAGATTTATTTGTGGGTATTTTAAAGATTTTAATACCGCTGTGAATTGAATTTTTAAAGATTCAATTTTCTGACTGTCCGTTGCTGGCATATAGGGAAACTCTTCACTTTTGCCTGGTGATCACATGTCCATCAACTTTGCATTGGCATTTGTGTTTGTTTCTTCCGTTCTACGCTTTCTTGATACCGCTTTCTTTTTAGTGCTCTGACCAGATACTAGGACACTCTTCAACAGAGGCAGTGAAAAGAGGCATCTTCATCTTATTCCTGACTTTAAAGAAAATGTTCTAAAATTTTACCATTAAATATTGTTTGCTGAGGGTTTTTTTCTTTAATTAAGCTTAGAAAGTTTCTTCCTAAACCTAGTTTACTGAATTGTTGTTTTGTTGTTGTTTTTTTATCATTCATGAGTGTTGAGTCTCATTTCTAAATTCATTATGAATTTTTTTAGATGGCTATGTAGGGTTTTTTCTCCCTTAATTGTTAAGTGGTGAATTGTATTTATAATTTTTTTAATGTTAAATAATCATTATTGCATTCCTGGATAAGTTCAACTTGGTCTTACACATACACACACACACACACACACACAACTGGATTTAGTTTGCTAACACTTAGCTATTTTCATTTATGCTCATAGGTGAAATTAGCATATAATTTTTCTTCATTGTGCTCTGTTGTCTGGTTTTGAAACAAAGGTTATGGTAGCTTTTTTAAAATCAGGGTAAGTTTCATTTTTGTATTTTCTGGAGCTATTTATATAAGAAAGGAATCACAGTTGCTCAACAGTGAAATATCTCTAAGGAATCATCTCAAATAGCTTTGTTTTTAGATTTAGATTTTTATTGCCAATTTAGTTATTTAAATGTTTCTAGATCTATTTAATTCTTTTGTTTCCTCTTGAGATTATTTTGGTAGTTTATATTAGCTTAAATCGGCTATTCATTTTTATTTTCAAATTTATTAGCATAAATTGATTCATAGGATTCTCATAAGAATTTAAATCTCCTTTGAATACATAGTTATATTCCATTTTTAAATGCCTCGTATTTTTAATGTGCTCACTTTGGTCTTATTTTGGTCAGTATTAGCAGAGTTTTATCAATCATTCTAAAGATTCAGCTATCTATCTCTGCATCTGTCGATCTCATCTGTACCGATGCCTATACCTATCTGTTTAAGGCCAGGAGTTCATATGAATGCCCCAATTGTTATCGAATACCACAGGGTTTCTGAAGAAACTTGACACAGTATTAATTCTAAGCCATCTTATATTTATAATTAATTGTTAGAATCCTGTTGCATATTAGACTGCCTCAGATGTGACCACAAGACTTGGTGTGGTTCTTTCAGCAAGTGGAAAGGAATAAAAACACTGGGAAAAAGAAGTAAGCATTTAAAATGCCAAAACCCTACTTTTATCTTAATTGCACATGATCCAGGCTAGCACTGTGCTCTCAGTCATTTCTGGGTCCTTGCAAGTTAGTGCTTTAGCATAGGCGAGCTTGTAGATTGGCCATCCTAATTGCTCTTTGTTTATGGCCGTGCTTACTTTATATGGTACACACTTATCCATTAGTGTAACAAGACCTGGTATACGGTGAACTGTCCCTTTTATGGACTTAGGTTTGAAAGTAGAGCATCTAAGTTTATTTTGAAGATGAGGGCGACTCCTAGCTTTTCCCCAAGAGCTTGAGAGCCACCTAGATGCAAATCTCAGCCAGCATTGAGAGTTGTTTATTTCTTTGGAGACTCATTTCCACCACTCTCTACCACGCCTCTGTCACCGGGACCTCAATGTTGACTTTATAACTAACATTATAGACAGTCTTGGTTAAGAAAAAGGAATTGGTCCTGAGAATCTATAATTAAACACAGGTTACTGCCTTTCCTCTACGCTACCATCTCTCGG